TAATGGGTGGATGGAAATCAAAACTGCTGCACCAGGGGCGAAGCTTACGTGGTGGCCAGAGGTGGCCAAAACGTTTTATTTCTGTTGTCACACCTCTGTCCATGATGATGAAGGTACTTCTCCTTCCTGAATTTAACCCCCAAGGTGGAGCAGTTCTGGCGTTTCTACAGTCACATGATTCGACCAGGCGACCTAACGGGCCACAGTGACTTTCATCTCTTCAAAGAAGGCATCAAACCCATGTGGGAGGTGAGAGCGTCTTGGGTGTTTTATCTCGCGGTAGGGCTTCCAGTTAATTCTAAGCCGACTGTTTTGTGTGTCAAGGACGACGCCAACAAAATGGGCGGCAAGTGGATCATCCGTTTGCGGAAAGGCTTGGCGTCCCGCTGCTGGGAAAACCTCATCCTGGCCATGCTGGGCGAGCAATTCATGGTTGGCGAGGAGATCTGCGGCGCCGTCGTGTCGGTCCGCTTTCAGGTAGTACAAACACATACATGACTGAAGGACTGAAGAAATTTGGCGTACCGTTCCACCCTGAGTAATAATACATTTGTGTCGTTGAACCACCCACAAGGGGCAACTACAGTATATTACAATGTTTTTTTCAATGCCTTGTTTGGTCATATGTCCATCCAGGAGGACATCATCTCCATTTGGAACAAAACAGCCAGCGACCAAGCCACCACGGCCCGCATCAGAGATACACTCCGGCGAGTCCTCAACCTGCCCCCCAACACCATCATGGAGTACAAGACACACACAGACAGCATTAAGTATGTATGTCTCCCATCATTTTTTATTACCTTTAACCACACGATCCGCCTCTGCATGCGCACTTTGTGCAACTCTTACTCATTTATGTTACGAAGGAATACGAAGCTTGTAGTCACCGATTCATTCCTCAAGTCAGTTATTGAGCAGTCTAATAAATGTGTCCAGAAACTTAAAAGTTGCATCTTGAAGTTGACATGTGTGTGGCGACGCCAAGTGGACAACAACAATACCTGCACCTCACGTGCATGATTTGTCGTATAGTTATGCAAAATAAATTACTTGCAGCCCTCGAATCAAAGTACCACTGCATTTCCATGTTCACATTTTGAATAATTTCTCCCAATTTCCCCAATTTATGCAAGGAAAAGGAATTTCTCAATGCATTTGAGGTCCGTGGATGTTTGTGTTGAGGTAAACTGGCAGGAATCTGGAATGATCTGTCGCTCGTTTGCAGAGCCTGGGAAGACTTCCATGGTCTGGTGAATGCTAGCGGCGGACGTTAGCCCTTCTGCCGCCACTGACCTCTGCAAGGTTGGATAATGTTTTGTTCCCCCCCCCCCCCCCCCCCCCCCCCC